GTTGCCACAACGGATTATACCGCCGCCTCCAAAATACCGAAATTTTGCCCTGTTTTAAGTGTATCCCCGTCATCTAAACACGTTTGAGAGTACTCCGCCACGTGCACGCAGGCACCTGCATATACACACGTAGCTGGTTAATAGGGCAATCAGTCGTATTGCATGGTTAATGTGGTTTCTATCACAGGAGAGTTCCGTCACCAGCCACTGTGTAATTATGAGATATCCTATCGCCGTTTTATCTTTTTACGTTCGTGATTAAGCGGAAGGAACTCCGATTACGTAAAAGAGTCCCGGTTGGCGGTTAGACATCAAACAAATGGTGGGATGAATGAAAAAAAGTTACTCGCACACTTAGAAATTATAAATGGGAAAATTACACTATAGCGAATAGGTCCAAGATATGTCTAGATAAGGTCGCAAATTTCACTTTAAAGATTACGTACAAGGTTGTATAAATAAAACTAATCATCAGAAAGACCAGTTGCTCACTGGTATCGTGTCAAACATCATATATCAAGTGATGACGTAACGCAAGTAAATAGTAAATAAACTAGACAAGTTTGAAATACCAAATCAAAAACACGTTTGGATTTGTTCAATAAATACCTCTTAAAAGTTCTTATTCTAGACATTTTTTTTATTAAACATATGCTTTCAAACATTTTTAAGTTTTGTGGTACGATTGAATTAGAAGAGCAGAACACAAAAATACATATACAAGCATTCATTCACCACTTGCTTGCCTAATCTCGGCAGCCCTAATGAGACTGTATATGACACCAGACAACTGCCTTCAGACCATGCTACCGTTGTGTAGAGGTGCAGACAGCTGACGACCTAACCCCATTGTTTATGGTATGCATTTGTGCCATGTTTTTTCCTTCCTGTCAGTTTTAATGCCATTGAGAACTAAATCAAAGCTGTATATATCACGTATTGTGAATCAATTAGAGGGTCAAAACGCATTATAAACATTCCTTTTTGATAAAAACTTTTATTATTCAATTGCCGAGCACGTTTGTTTGTTTTCTCTGTTTTGTGATCTTTTAAAATCAATGTTGATAAATGGACTGAATTAGAAAAAAACACATATTCAGGCGGTATGTTATAATATTAAAAATCTCCGTAATACTTTTTTCGAGAATATGCAAATGATTTATTCGTGGAAATTTTAAACCGCGAAGTAAACAATGACAGATAGAGCCTTTGTACATGTGCCTGTAAATATTCATAATTCCTGCGGAAACAAAAACCTCGAGAAAATACACTGGGGCGCAACACCGGATAGTCACCGTTACCGGTGTTCGAACCCTCGACCCCTGCTGGGTGTGTATGTGGCTTCGATTCCCTGACTATTTTAAGCTAGAAGGTGATCGACCCAGCTGTTTGGTGAACTCTGTATAGGTATCGTGTTTATAGCAACCGCAGCGTCACAGGGTTGTTGTGGTAATAGTGCTTGTAGAAACAACACGAGATCCGACCGAACGGATAATATATACCAAACTCTTTTTGGATTTACACTCAGCGACCTTATTTTTCAAAAGTATAAGTTTAACATTTGATTTGATAGCAATCTTTTTTTGTTTTACAGACTTGAAGTAGAAGAGGTTAACGAAATACGTGGTGTCATGAGTTTAGCCTGTCTGGTCTGTCTGCGCAGGCGCCTGTATCTACTTCCGCTCATCACGACATTATGGATTATCATGTCACTTTTCATATCGTAAGTTATCTTTTTTTTGTTATTTCGATCACTTAGCAAGAAATGTAAGGATAAAGAAGTGCTTTGAGTGAGCTGGTGTGGTAGTTATGTTAACAAGTTTCGTCAATATGAAGCTAGCAATCTTCCGGAACTGAGTTTGGTTCCATACAGAACGTTATTATTTGATAATTACGAAGGCTGTTCATATCGTTCAATTAAAATGTGATTAGGGTATCATAATGTATCGTTTCTCCTGAAAGTGTACCTAAAATTCAGCCGTAGTTGTTATTTTACCAGACAATTCTAAATGGCAGATTTCCATTAAAGTTTACGAATACGTAAGCGTTGCTACGTGAATTAACGATGCGGTATTTGTTAGCAATGGTATTGCATCTGTTTGGATTTCCATAGCTCTGTAGGAGCTTTGTTGGTTTCAGGCCCACTATCTGTAGAACTCTGTAACATTTAAAACCTAGATTGTTGTTTGTAGACACACAAATAACACATTCACTATAGCAATGGTGCCAGACTGTTCCATTTCTTATAAATTAATTCTCATATGATTTAAAACCCGAACAAAAAGGCACACTATGTCTGCATCTAAGGCCAAGTTATAATTGAAACAAATTTACCTAAATCAACATTTTGTATTTCGTTTCAACATTATTACATAATATGTATTTCGAGCTTTATCAGCAATGAGCGTGCATTAAACTCAGTTACAGCAGGATTATATACCTAAATATACAGGGGTCCTTGAGACAATCACACAGGGGGAGTACTAAACAATGAACATACAGTATCGTGTATTACAATAAGGAGGTATCTGTGTGAGGATGGCACATTATGTAAATGTACGTGCGCGATCTGACTAGGGTGGGGGATAGGGAGGGACATTTCATTTATATTTATACCGGAATACTTTTGTTTGTAGATATGGAATAGCAGTGAGCTATGGCCATACGGAGCCAGACTTCCCTTATATAAGGTAAGAATCTTTACAGAAGTTTTTGATAAATAAGTCACCCTTTTCATAATTTGGAAAAATAATAAAATAATTAATTAAGCTCAGAAAAAAAAACTCGATTAGTCTCTATCTCAACATCACTATTGCATACCTGCCTGAGTACAAGATGTTAAATATTACTTTTGTTTGATTCTTCGCCTCAAACTCCAATCTAACCTATACTGTCTCTGACACTCGAACTAGTAGGAACTGTGCAGTGAATGTCATGGACGCTGTACCTTGCTTTTATTCGTCTAGTCACACAGCCATTGAAGCACCAGAACGATGTGTCTTCGGTCAGCTGGTCAATATAGGAGCCGTCATGCGTGAGTAAACACCTTTATCATCTCGCATCAACTCGTCAAGTGAAACCATTTTACTCCGGATACTTTGCAGTCACAGAGATAAAAGAATTTCGATTTCTCCACAATAACGATACCAGCATATTAAACTTTATTTTTTTCACCTCGTTTTTTTAATATTAACACACGACAGACATGAGTGGTTTCATCATAGTCAAAACTAAAATCAAAAGCCCTTACGGAAAAACGAATGTTGCCGGGTTATCACAATACCGATCAAAGACTCTGGTTACTGTAATCCTATGGTTATTCATAAAAAATAATCAGCAAATTTTGAAACAACATTTTTTCTTTTGCTTTGTCTTATTTCCCCAAAATAAACTCACAAAAACAAGTTAGCGGTGTGTTTCACCATGAAACCTTTTTCGAAATCATCTGTTTTCATTCTTTTCACAAGCCGATCACAGCAAATTATAGGTTAGGTCTCAACGAATGGTTCATTGTTTTAATTCGGTGCATAATTTTTAGATAAAACCTGCATTCCTAAGCGTGATCGATACACTGGTTCATTACAAGTACTTCGTACACTTGTACCGACATTGTACATGGGGTCGAACTAGTCGTATCCCTAGCTAGTCCTTGACATTGTATAGGGGGTCGAACTAGTCGTATCCCTAGCTAGACAGGACTGAAACTGGAGATCAACAAATTCATTCCTTTTGATAAATGATATAAGAGAGATTGAAAAAATACGATATTGGGGATTCGAAATCAAACTAAGATTTTATTCGAATTGATATGTATATAAGCAATTACTGAAGTATCTATATGTATATTTTGTATATTGTAACATCGGGTTCACCTTTCAAATTATGCAGCGAAATGATTTCCCTACATCTTCCATTGTGTAAGAGTCTGACTATAAGGAGGGTTGGTAGTATACAGAGCTGGTCCACAAACAAGTGTTTTGATCATAGGAAGATTCCAACTTGAGCCATCACTGCCAGTTCATTGTAATGAACACCTTTTGTTTTATCAATTGTTTTATTTATCGGATTATGAATTAACTGATGTTCTATTGGGCAGTTCATTGTGTTATCAGCTTTCCTCGGAGGACACTGGGTATTTAGATTAGGACCTGTATCATATGTATGTCAAATGATAAAAACATATCATAATTAGTTTACTTAATATGAACAAGCGCATGTAGTACAAAACACCACGATCTTTCTTTTCTTTGTTACTTCCATTATTCTTAATATTGAAACAGTGGGTTACCGAAATAGCTGATGTAGTGTAGGGGTGTCACAATATGCAAAGAGTGTATTACGATATATTGCAATACAAATTAAATGTATTGCGATAC